GGAATTGTTTAACAGGTCAATATTTTTAATAGATATTTCTTTATATCGCAAACTTTAGAGATGAAACCTACGCGTATTTGATATGTAATCGTATAAAATTTTAAGTGCGACTAGTAAGTTTTTATTTTTAATTAAAAAAAAAACATTATTCCTGTGCAAATTATAAATGAGATGATACTTTATTTTATTTTTGTTCGTAGAATTTGATTATTTTCTCGGATATTGATGATTAAACACTTTATAGTCATATAACTTTTCAAATCATTTATGGGTTAATCAGAATACTGCATTTTCACTGAAAGTAATAAAGAATAAATAACTGTCACGATAATTCAAAATATATTAAATTTAAATCATAAAAAATAATTTAAAGATATATATCATTTCACTTATTTGATGAAGTGTTTCTTTCAAATATACAATGACATAACAAATATTTGAATATTAGTGTTTGTGTGTCTTAAAATAAGTACGAAAATTAATTTTAAAATAGTATTTAATTGATAGATGTGTTTTTGGTTTTGTATATATTATTCTACATCGTGAGAGCCTGTGATTTGAAAGTTGGAAATTTCCAGATATTATGAATAAAAATATATCATGTTGCATTCTCCATTATTTTCAGTCCTTTCTTTTTTTCTACCTAGTTTATCCTCCTTTTCTCTGAAAGAAAAAAAAGAAACTTATCTTCCTCTTCTCCTTTTCAACACTTAAGCTAGTTAAGAAAAGGTTTTGATCATCAATCTTAAGTGTTGTTTTGGATAATTTCTATCATTTCTTAAATTTCTACTTCTTCTTTTTGTCTCCGAGCATGGAAATTTGAGGTTTTTGGGGAGAGAATTGAAATTGATCTTAACCTCGGGCTTCGATAGGATTAACTCTTTAAGGTGATATAGAAGGTATTACGGTGTTTTACTTCATCATCTCCTTCAACTTCTAATTTCCTTTGGATACAAGGAAAATCTCCAAGTAATGGAAGCTATCTTAGTCCTGTAAGCTATGATTCTGGTTTGAGAGACAAGGAAAAATGGTTCATGTGAGGTATTTTGGTTGAATCCCTAATTTGGACTTGCTTTCAAAATTTGCATTTGAAACTTGATAATCTTTTGAGTAGATATTTGTGAGTTGTGGATTTGAGCTTGTATTTTGTGTTTTTAAATTTATAATTGTAATTCTTTTAGATTACTCTAACCTATAAGGACTAAAACAATGTAAGTTGTTAACAAATGCATATATAATGATTTGAGGAGTGTTTCTATAATAGTTTTGTTTGATCATAGATTTGTACAGACTCCACTTTTGAACTTGTCAATTTGTTTTGTGATTGGTTTGGGGGAATTGGTTTGCATTGGATTATTCAATGTATCATATAGAGATGTTATCAATGTATCTTTTTAAAGTCTCTGATTCAGCTTGAGATGTTTATCTGAATATGGTGGTTTTTTAAGATTCTAACGCTCAACTCACAGGTAGTTAGAGATAGATGTTCATCCAAATTTGATTATTTGAGATGTAACTAATTACTTTTTCTTTATTTGTTTAAGTTAATAGTGAAGGTTTATAAAGTATTATGATAATTTAATACTTATTTATTTAGTGTTATGAACTTTTGATTTGATAAGATAGATGAATTTATTAAAAATGATAATGTGTATTAAGTGTGTAGTTTATTCTTCATGAATTACTTACGACATTCTTTATTGTGAATGAATATGATGAAAAAAAATGAATTCAATATATAGCTGATAATATTATTTTAACAATTCAAATCATATAAACAAAAATATCAAGTTATGAAAAATTTATAAAATGATTTCTACCACTTAAAAAGTCATTGTGAGACAATTTAATGACAATAAAATATAACAAGTATCTAACTTAAATACTCATACATCTTTTAAAAAATTAATCTTTTATTTGAGACATTCATTTCAAAAATTACATATGTATTGTGAGTGAGTGAATGTATCTTAATAACAATGAGAAGTCTCTTTATATGCGATTATTATTATTATTGTTTTAATTTGGGCTTTATGTAAACATAATGTTATGTTTTATAAAATAAAAACAACAAAAAAATAGCTTCTAAATTTAAAATATTAATTTAATTTATTAAACTAAGTGTATTTTGTAAATTTAATTATTAAACCGATTAACGTATATTTGTTTATAATTGTTTATATCGTAGATAAAAATATAAGTTTAAATAATTTTAATTTTATATTTTTTAGTTAGTTTTGAACTTTTATCGCTTATAAAAATAAATATTTTTTAAAAGATGTAAAACATAATATAAAAATAAAAATGAATTTGCAGCATAAAACAAGATATTAAAAGAAAAATTATTAGAATATTAAAGATAAAATAAATTAATCATATTAAGAATAAATTAGAAGTTATAAGTTCACTAACTTATAATTCTATTTCACAAATCAATTTTAGCCTGTAATATTTAATTACTCACCTTAATCTGCTAATCCAATGGGTGAAGAATAGAATAAGATTTATTGATATATTTTTTAAAATATAAATAAAAATATATAATTTTTTTATGTTATATTATTAAAATATATATTTATATTATAATATTATAATTTAAATTATAAATTCTAATTAGTTAAATTTAAATTATTAATTAAAATTGAGTATTTTAATACATAAATAATGAGATGTTTTCAATATATCTAATTAAAAACATTAATTAATATATAAAACTTAAAAAATATTTATATAATTAAAAATATTTTTTTTAATATATAAAAATTATATACATATATAATAAAATATTAATTTGCTAACCAGAACATATTAAAATCTATATAATTTATCTGATTATAATATATCAATATGTCTTGTTTTATTTTTAATGAAATAGAATAAAATAAAACGAATTAACTTATTTTTTAATATTTATTTCTCACAAAGTCTATAAAACATTATAAGTGATGGAGAATAAAATAAACTTATATAATAAATAAGTTGTGAAATATATTAAAAAACCCCTTTAAAAAGTTGGATTTCTCCGTGAGTATGGTTGAGTGATAAAATAGGTTTAATTTGGCGGATAAATACGTTGGTGTTGTGTAGTTTCTAGAAGAAAAGAAATTTGAAGAACGGTTTAGAGGAGAATATGTAAGTTTAGAGAGGAGATGGTGTTGAATTATTTAATTGGAGAGGAGAAGACACGGTGGTGGCGGCTGATGTAACACTAGTACATATTCTACACCTTCACAAGATTAGGGTCTACAACTTAGACAAAGATAGGTTATTGGAATGCAAAAATACACTGTATTCATCCTCTTTTTCACCCCTTCCCTGGCCCTACGATAATCTTTCTTTTTTTATGTCCTTACTTTCTTCTAAATTTCTCAATAACGCCATCTTAAATATAAAATTCAATCTTTTCTTTACTTTTTACTTCATTACTATACACAAATAAAAAGCTTTTCAAAATATATTATTGCATGGATAGAAAAATATTGCTTTATTTCAATCAATATATTGATAATAAAATTTATTAACAAATTAAGTTATGGGCGATTAAAAAACTAATTTTAAAAAATGTTATATTCATGCACATTCAATATTTTAAAACTTATTTGATTAATTTGAAAAGTTCATTCCTTTATTTTATTTTTTTTTTTGAACTTTTAGAAGGTATCATATAAATTTCTAAGAAAAATTAAGTCAAATTTAAATAAAAACTTGATGTTATTATATTAATGGCATAAATTTATTTTAAATAAACTCTTCCTTGACCTATACTTCTTGTCTAATAAATTTGTCGATGATGTTTCGAATTATTATTGTTATTTCCGGGTTTGTCTTGTTCTATATTGACCATAGTAAGCACGACAACACTGAATCTGACCTAAAAAGAACAAAACGACAAAACAATGAACAGGGTTTTAAAAATATGGAATTAAAAATATAATTATTAATTGGAATGTATAAATAAGTACAAGACGTTATCCAATTTTTCATCAGAAAAGAAAAAACGAGGAACCAGAGTTTGTTGTGGCCATGGAACACTGAAGACTGAACCCATACCTATCAGTGGTAGGTGGTTGGTTAGGCTTCTTTATTTTACACATATTCGTATATTAATCAGTAGAAATTAATTATATATAATAATTTAAATTTATTTAAATATAATTATTTCTATTTGAATTAAGTTAAAAATAAGCGAAGCAGAGAAATTAAATATTGGGTGTCGTATGCGCCGACGCAAAGGCATAGAAATGTTGAGAGCGCGACACGCTGACGCTGACACAGTTCCTTTGCTAAGCATGTACAGAATCTTATTCAAAATTATTAAATTTAACACATAAATTTTGTAAAAAAAATTATTAAAATATGATTAGATCTCAAATTTAATATTTGGGATTTAAAAATTAAAACATAAATTTTAAGTTATAAAATATTGAAATATAAAATTTTATAAAAGTACAATTAATAAGATATTATTATTAGAGAAAAACATGAAAAAATTTAATTTATTTGAAAAACATGTATAAGAACAACGTAGCATTAAAAAAAGTATTAAAATAGTGTACCCAAATCTATTGACTCCAAATTGTAATGGCCAACTCAGTCCCACCTTGTTTTACATTGGAGGAGTTGCCCACGTGGCTTGATTATCCGTCTGAGTCACGTGTCAAAATTGATTAATATAATTATCCTTTTTCATGAACCCAAAAATGATTTACTACAAAATTAGGTTTGTTTATGCTACCAAATGGTGATAAATTCATCCTCCTTGACCAACAACATCAACTTCCCTGTTTATTATAACTAACTTACTCATTTTTTAATTCCAATCATTTATCTATCCACCATTTTTCTAGTCTTAATCTTTACTCCTTCCTCCGGTATATAAAGTGAGGCCAATGCAACAACCTTGAACTCCAGAGGAACCACAATTTTAGTCACACTTAATTTGCTACCACTTCAATTATTTCAAACTTCTAAATTCTCTCTTTGCACTTTCATTCTACCAGATGGATTTAGCTTTCGATTTTGAGTTTGATTCTCCTCCTCTTTTTCTGAACCAAAACCTTAACTCCTTCCAAAGCGCTCGAGACCCTTTTTCCTGGGACTACAATTTTGACCACATCTTCGACCAAGCCAAAGAATCATCCACGGGGTCCAACTTTTCCGGTTCTGTGGGCAGCGTTGAGTTACAAGAAGTCTCCTCCGACGGCACCACTTACGAAGAAGAAGCCAAAGCAACAGAGCCACTGGCGGAGCCGGCGCCGGTCAAGGAGGGGAGGATGTACAGAGGAGTGAGGAAGAGGCCGTGGGGGAAGTTCGCAGCGGAGATACGGGATTCGACCCGAAACGGCGTTCGGGTGTGGATTGGAACGTTTGACACTGCGGAAGCGGCGGCTCTGGCTTACGACCAGGCTGCGTTCTCGACGAGAGGGTCTCTGGCGGTGCTGAATTTCCCGGAGGAAGTGGTGAGAGAGTCCCTCAAGGACATGCCGAGTAAGCCCTGGGAGGAAGGTTCTTCCCCTGTTTTGGCGCTCAAGAGAAAACACACTATGAGGAGAAAGTCCAGTTTGAAGAAGAAGAAAAGCAAAGTCGATGACAGAGATCAAGTACAGTTCTGCTCCTCTTCCCAGAATGTGCTCGTGTTCGAGGATTTGGGTGCTGAGTACTTAGAACAGCTCTTGAGTTTGACTTCTTAGACTCTCTCTCACCTCTCTGTTTTCTTCTACTCTGTTCTTGGAATTGTTCATAAACAATCTTTAACTTTGTAATTCTTTCATCACTGGATCAAATGTAATATTCGGCTTCCTATTCTCTTTTCTAGTCATTACTGAGTTCTGTAGATTTTCAAAACTGCATTTTTTTTATGAGATCACAAGTTTAGTAAAATAACTTTATTGAAAATAATAATATTTATTATTGTTATTATTATTAACAATCCTTTATTATATTTCAAGGGCTAATGTGATGACTCGTTGTCTAAATGGTCTAAATGAATAAATTAACCATCAAATAAATAAAAAAATCTGACAAAATTAAAGTTTTAAGTGTTTATATACGATAATATGATGTCATATTTTAATATTACCAATTATTTCTCTATTTCTGAAATATTCGACATTTTATTCTTTTTCATATAAATGTTTTTGTATGACAACTACAATATTGATTTCCATGAATATAGCCTTCTTCTTCCCCTAAACTAGCTAAATATTTTCTATTCTCTTATCCTTTTCTTTTCAGTATTTACTTTTGTCAGTTTTGTAAACATAACATATCACCATATATAGTCTTGTGAAAGGCTTGTGCAACAATTTTTTATTAAGTTTTTAAAGACACTATTCCCTACGTATTAGAAAATTATTTTGTTTGAGTACTTAATCTTTTAATGTTATAATTTATTTCTATATTTGTTGATAAATAAATTTAGTTTTATTCCTCCTTTACATTTTTCAACATATGTTTATAATATATTTTTACAACTTTTTATTATATCATTCATTTTATTTAAAGTTTTAGAAGTAAAACTTTACTGCAGAAATTTAAAATTTAGTGTAGACAGCACGATTCTAACATTAAATTGAGGCATACAAAATGACATGATAAATTAAATATTTAAATAATAATTTATTTGACAATTTATATCACATAAAATATATTTATATTTTATATATTATTTTATTTATATCACTTTTATTATATTATATTATAAAATTACATATTAATATTTAAATTTTATGTGAAAATTGATATTAAATTATATATTTTTTATTATTAATATTATTTTTAATAAAATAAAATTATTGACAACTTTATCATTTCTATGATATCTCCTTTATAGTTTGAATGAAAAGGTTGATCATCAATTATTCTATCAACTTCTTACCTCTCATATTTTAGTTTAATTTATAATGTAAGTTATTAATAAAATATGAATTTCGTTACTCCATACAAATATAGGAATCATATATAATAACATAATTACGATACTTTTTTAGTACATACTAATATTTCTGAACCTCGTATCTCATCCTAACTTAACTCATGTCAACAAACACTTCTCAATCAATTATAGATAATATATTTTACTTAACTTAGTCTCACCACATATATTCATTCTAATTGATTATACATCGCAACATCTTATTCGACTAAATCCCATAACACACATAATTGAGTATCTAACCTACCATCTTTTTATCACACATTTCATTCACTTAACAAAGATATTTCACATGAGCTACTCTCTATTTCTTGAACGAAATACTTATAGTATTAAACTCAAATAGTTATGTCTCTTGTGAGAATGTGAGAAGAGAAGTCCTATATCAGTAAAATTATATATTGGTGCTTATTTTTCTTGTTATAAAATGAGCACAATGTCTACCTTGTAAGTCACTACAAATATCTTATTTCTCCTTTCTACTAGTGCGTTGCATAATAGTTGAGTTCTATTATTTTTTAAAGAAAATATTATTATTGTTTTCTCTTTAGATTTAAAGATAGTATTGTAATTTTTTCCGCTAGTAAAATTCTATTATTGCTACTCTTTTCTCATATTTTATTTTAGTTGTGAGTTCTAATGCAATTACTCTGATTCTTAACAGTTGTATTAGAGCAGATGATTGATTTCTTATTTATGATATTATTTCGTTGTTATAGTCATTAGAATCGTGTTGGAAAAAATTCTTAGTATACTCTGTGATTGTGGTTAATCTTATCTTCCACATCAGAAAATAGTTATTCTAATTACTGAATATAAAGTGTGGTAGTGTGACAGTGCATGTCTAGGAAAAGTTTTGGCAAGAAAAGACTTGGTATTTAAGTATATCCATTAGTGACACAAAGACAAAAGGCAGTAGGTAATACTATTCATAGTGAAAGGTGCATAAATCAATTAATATCATGACAATAAAATATGAGATAGAGAAGTTTAATGAGAATAATTTTTCATTGTGGAAACTAAAGATGAAGACAATTTTGAGAAAAGATAATTTGTGTATAAGTAATTGGAGAAAGACCGTGGACATCACATATCGAATGTAGGAAGAAATTAATAACGCTATAGCAGATTTGTGGATAAGGTTACAACAAAGGAGATTTGAGAGTCCCTCATCAAATTGTATAAGGATGAAATACATATTGGACTTGTTTATTATGGTATGTTGGAATCATCGGTATTATCTCTAGGAGGGGCCAAATATTTTATAACAGTGATGTCAATGATTACTCAAGAAGATTATGGATCTACCGCATCAAGATGAAGTCTGTGTTTTCAAAGTTAAGGAAAGATAAATTCTTAGACTATGCTAACAATATGAATGGATACTTCTTGTGGATCCACTATCCACAAGGTTATTGTTAGCGTTGATACAAATATTATTTTTCTTCAAAGTGAACTTAGAGAAAGGATTGGTATGCTCCAACCAGAAGACTTAAAGAAAAAGGAAAGTGAACTTAGAGAAAGGATTGGTATGCTTCAACCAAAAGACTTAAAGAAAAAGGAAACTTGGTTTGCAGGTTAACCAAATCCCTGTACGGCTTAACCAGGTGTCCAGGTGTTAGTACAAGAGATTTATATCTCAGTATATTTTTAAGTTAATAATTTATGTACAAGAGATTTTATGTTAACCAAATCCTATTATAATAAATTTGATGAGAATGATTTTATTATTTTGTCGTTGTATGTGGATGAAATGTTGGTGGTAGGCTCAACAAAGTTCAAATATAGATTTTGAAGACATAGTTGACTAGGAAGTCTGATATGAAAAACTAGGGATCAACAAACAAGATTGTAGGGATGTAAAGTTCACCAAGACAGAAAATATAGGAAGGTTTAGCTTTATCAGAAGAATTACTTATTGAAGGTCTTATAGTGTTTCAGCATGCAACGGTGTAAGCCAGTTTCTACCCCAGTTCCTATCAAGTTATCCTCAAGTATCAGTCCTAATAATGAAGCAGGGAAGATGAAAATGTCTCAAGTACTGTATGTATCGATGATGGGAAGTCTTATGAATATCATGATTGGTACAAGACCAAACATTGCAAAAGCAGTGAGAGCGATTAGTAGATCAATGAGAAATTATGATGGAGAGCATGAGTATTATTAAGAGAATTATTATCAAAGGAACCTTGGATATTGTATTATATTTCAAATGATCAAAACTAGTTGTCAGATGTTATGTTTATTCAAGTTTTGTAGGTGATTTTGATGAATTTACCTTTGTTGAAGAGATAATAACTGGTTATCCAAGTTATAGGATGTTATAGCTCTATCTATTATAGAAGCTGAGTACATGGTAGTTACCCGAACATGTAAGAAAACTATTTGGATTAAGAGCATAATGGAGGAACTCGGGCACAAACAACAATAAATTGTTATGTATTGCGACAGTTAGAGTGTCTTCCACATTGCAAAAAATCCTACTTTGTATTTCAAAACAAAACAAGAAGAACCTAGCAGATATTATGACAGTCAGTTAGTAGTGACAAGTTTACATATAGACGATCCTATTAAAGGTTTATTGCAATAACAACATGAAAGACAATAATAATGTATTGTGAAGATTTGATTAATTTAATCAAAATCTTCAAGTGAGAGATTGTGAGAATGTGAGAGGAGAAGTCCCACATTAGGAAAATTATATGTTGATGTTTACTTTTCTTGTTATAAAATGAGCACAATGTCTACCTTGTAAATCATCCAAAATATCTTCCTTCTCTTTTTTATTAGTGCATTATATAGTAATTGAGTTATCTTATTTTTGAAAGAGAATATGATTATTGTTTTCTCTTTTGATTTAAAAAGGGTATTATAATTTCTTCTAGTAATAAACTCAAATAATTATGTCTCTTTCTTATTTGAATATCATCATTCTCATCTAAGTGAAAAACACCTCTAAAATGTGTGGTCTATTTTTTTTTTTATTTTTTGCTAAGTGATATTATGACTGTTTCATCGACTAGCAAACAAAATCAACCCATTTTTCCTGTATTTGTATATTTTTTAATGATCTCTTATCACTTAAACAAAATAGAAATTGAAACATTTATCTCTCTTATATAAGTTTTGTTGCTTAAATAAGTATATCTTATTTCAGTAAAACACTTAAAATGTTAATTTTCTTTGAAACGATTGAGATAAAAAATTAATAGAATCAATACATTCAAATTTTTTTAGGGGTCAATAATCTTAATGAATTTTATTTTTTTTGAACTAAGACCCTTGTCATTGTCCCTCTGTTCCCTTCCATCCTTGCTTTCTCTTATGTGACCTTTAGGGACATAGTTCTCTAACTTAGCAAATCACCACCAAATTACTATTTTCTTGAGTGATAATTCATAGCTTGAGTGAACTTCTATAGTTTAACGCATTTTTCATCTTGCTCAAACTACCAACATTTTACTTAAGGAACGGGAGTTAATTTTTTCTAATTTTCAACATAATTCAACATTCATATTATGCGTATACATAATGTTGACCCATTAAAATTTTATTAACCCACTAAAACAACCTAAACATATATTTCTAATCACATTCAATTTTCCAATATACTTTTATTTACAACACATTTAAATAATTAATTTACGTAAATTTTCTTACAACCTAACTTCTTAAATATGAATACAACCCAAGATTAATACTTCTACTCTAACACTTAAGTAGCACGTAACTAGATTAGTACAAATCACTAATTGG